ACGACGACGACGACGACGACGACGACGACGACGACGACGACGACGACGCAACGACAACGACGACGAAGACGTCAACGACGAAGACAACGACGACAACGAAGACGTCGACGATGATGACGACGACGATGAAGACGACGACGACAATGTTGTTCGCCTTTTAGTAAAGGTAATGAGCATAGCGCTGATATTTATTCCTCGTCGGATATAGACGCTCTCCTTCACGAGTCAGGTAAGCATAGAAATGAAAACGTTCGTAATTAGGACTCTCTCCGTCGCGTAATTCAACTTTGCGCGTAATTCAACAATTGCGTCTTTACGACTTGACAAGAAAGTGTAACATCATGCACTTGGAATCTTCACTAAAGCAAAGACGCGATTAACCACAGCCATGTCACTAGAAACACTGCTTGCGCATATCCTCTTTCGCGAGTGTGTATGTGTGTGTGCATGTGTATGTGTGTGTATGTGTGTATCAGCCTTCATATTCTCGATTTGAAAATTTCTATGTTACACTAGAATGACATTTCAATAGACAAATCTTGTCCAAATACATATTTTTATTCCTTCTAATAATAAGCATATGTGTGATATGGAAACTATTATTATATAGTAGAGTTTTCCTTTTTAGGATATATCTATTCATTTTTGTCATTCTCGTATAGAAAAACAAATCAATATTAAAGATGCAAAATCTTATGATACTAAGGTCCGATTTCAGCAACCTCAATCAAACTTTAAACCGCGCTTAAACTATTTGAAACAAAGATAAACTCAGATCAAGGCCCAATCGACGTTGGTGAAATCGGACCTAATTGAATATATTAGTCTAAAAATCGAAACAGTATTTCCTTTTCGTAACTATTACGTAATATATAAACGTGTATATAACGTATATATAATCGAACAGATACGATATATACGTTTAATAATCGATAATTTATAGAACGATTTGCATAATCTATGACTTAAAAACTCTAAATTCGCTTTAAACTGCAATATGATATTGGAAGAGTTATGAATAGGAAATACACAACAATCTTCCAAAGTTTTTGAAAACAAAATATATATTTCGTACACAGGAGAAATTATATATATATATATATATATATATATATATATAT